TGACCCAAGTCAACTTTTGGCAGTGCCTTAACTTGCGCTTGCACCAGCAATTCTACTCACTGTGGCTTTTGCACCATCAGTGTAAATGTCAACACAGTGAAAAGGCAAACAATACTTTAGTATTATATAAAAGTAGCTTTGTCTTCGCAGAAAGTGAACTATACTTTGAGAACCACTGTAATATGCTTGCACCACTCTTGTCTGGTCTTTACTAACCCAGCACCTTTTCCCCCTCATTGTCTCTATATAATCATATCACACTGTTGTTTTAAAAAAATATTTCATGTTTACCTTGTTGTTACTATGTAAGTATTATTCACTGACAATACAAGTAGGGTAAAATGAATGTCTCCTTGCTTGTACAACCTTTTTTTTTTTTTTTGAAGCTGGAGTGGATTACTGTCTTGTTGTTGCTGTTGTTGCTGTTGTTGTTGTTGTTGTTGTTGTTGTTGTTGTTATGTGCTTAGTTCAGCAGTCCTATCACAAATTTGTCTCAATTCTCCAATATATTTGTAAAATGTCTCCTAAATATTCTGTTTCATTCAGTTGAGCCACAAGGCCTATTTGTTTCTCTGTAGAGAAATCTCTCCAGAATCCCTTCTCCTTGTTCCAATATGAAGCAGGTGCTTATGCAGCCAGTGACTCAGCCTTCACCCCTGGGCATCCCCTTACTGCTCAGAATAGAGGATGTGACCTGCCATGGGGATCTCAATGCTTATTTCCCAAACTTGAAATCAGTCACCCTATTTTAAGCTCTGTGTCTTTTCCCCATTATTAGGCTGTTTCCACACTCCAAAGTTGTATTTCCAAATTCTGAAACTTGGTAGGGTTCTGCAGCAAAAATTGGCTTCTTTCATTGACATCCCCAAACAGGCACTTGATTTTCAGATTTTTCAACTCTCTCGGCTCCTCAATTTGCTTTCCACCTTCCAGAAATTTGTGGGGTCTCAGGTCTGCTCTTGTCTCCCTTCTCATTCTTTTGGTTCTTGTACTTTTATACCTTTTAAAAATTCCTTTATCCTCATTTTAGGGGCATTTCAAGAGGGGAGTAAAGATAAACACATGTGCTTAATACGTCTTGTTTGACTGGATGCTCACTGTTTGTATTTAAACTACACATGCTCTGAGGATCAGTTCATACGAGTTCCTCAGGGTATTACTGAGATCGATGGCTTGGGAGATTTATGGACCCATTTCAGCAACGACATATACTGCTACTGTCACAAGAGATCAAAAACTGGCTTAGAATTGATGAAGCTAGTAATAAAATTCTTATAAAATATTAACTATCAATCCTTTCCATCATTTGGTCTTTCAACAAATCCAACAGTTATTTTCTGAATACCTACCATGCACCAGGGCATTGGTGAATAAGACTAATAAGGTCCTGTCATGGACTTTACAGTGGAGCAAACAATGGCAAAGTGAACAAGTATATAAGACAGTTTCAGATAATAAGTACTGTAAAGATAACAAAATAGTGTAGCATGATAGAGTATCTGAGGTTAAGGTGGCTACATTAGGAAGAGGGTCAAGAAAGGCCTCTCTAAGGTTAAGATAACACTTGAGCTGAGGCCTCAATGGATGAGAAGGACCTATCTTTGTAGAGATCTGGGGAAGAGGATTTCAGAAAGAACAAAATTTCTAACATGGAGAATAGTTTAATGTGTTCACAGAGTAGAAAAAAAAACCCAGTGTGGTTGGAACATAGTGAAGGGAGAGTTGGCAGGAGAGGGTATCTAGAAGTCAGAGCTTGGAAAAGCACATTTGGATGTAATCCCAAATAGAGGTGATTAATTGAAACTATGGGATGAGATAAGATGGCCAAAGGAGAGAATACAGAAAACTTCATATTCTCTGTGCATGCTGCAAGAGCATATAAAGCACTGTACTTACCTTCAAAGAATTGACAATCCAGTGACATTTGTGGGACAAGACAAATCCCCAGAATAGAGAATAATAAAAGACAGTGTATAATCAAGCCTTGCATGACATAGTACAGGTTTTTTTAAGTGAAGTTAGAAAAAATAACAATCATTGAGAATCAATGGTAAAAGGTTTTCTGTAAAGGAGGTGATATCTGAGCCAAACTGATAGATGAGGTATATGTGCAGTAGCTGAAAAGCAGAAAAAGAGAATCTCAGATAGGAAAACATGAGCAGAGACTTGAATGTTGAGGTAAATATGACATATTTATGGAAGAGTAGAGAAAATCTTGACTGTTGAGAAATAGTTGAATGGGCAAATTTGATTTGGAATTGCTTTATTCATGGTTGGAGGGAGGGATTAAAACACTGAATGGTTAGATTTACAGTCTAGATTAGCAATTGCCCAGACTCCTTTAATTTCTGAATAATGGTAATACCTCTCCACCTAACTACTTTTTATTATGATGTTAATTAATAATTATTTCAAAAAATGAAAACAATATAAAAAGGGGCACACTGAGATATCTCACTCCTATCTGTCTTCATCCACCTTATTTCCCCTCATTCTCAATAGGGAACCACTTTTGATTTTCATTTCAATCTTTCCAGTTTTCTTTATGTAAATGCAAACAACATGACTATATCTTATTTTTGCCCCCTGTGTTAGTTTCCTCAGGCTACTGTAACAAAGTTCCACAAACTGGATGAAATAAACTCTCACAGTTCTAGAGGTTAGAAGTCCAAAACCAAAGTGTCACCAGGGCCATGCTCTCTTTGAGACTCTGGGCAGACTCCTTTCTTGTCTCTTCCAGCTTATGGAGGTGGCTGTCAATCCCTGGCATTCCTTGACCTGCAGCTGCATCATGCCAATCCCTGCCTCTGCCATCACATGCCATTCTCTCTGTGTGTCTCTGCCTTCTCATAGGGTTTTCCTCTTCTTAAAGAACCTCCTTCATGCTAAATTACTGCCTAACCTAGTAATTTCATTGTAACTTGATTATGTCTGCAAAGACTCTATTTCCAAATAAGGTCATATTCCCAAATACTGGTGCTTAGGACTTCAACACAGCCTTTGGGGGAAAATAATTCAACCCATAACAACCCACATTTTTTACATAAACACTCCATATTCACTATTCTGTAGCTTCTTGTTAAAATTTTAACTATATATCTTGGAATTCTTTCCATATCAATGCATAGTGATCTTTCTCCAACTCTTTCTACAGCTGCATAGTGTTCCATTATGTGGCTGTACCATAGTTTATTTCATGAGTCTCCTAAGTGTAAGGATGGACACTTAGATGGTTTCCAATCTTTCACAATTAAAAAAAATTTTTTAATGTTTATTTATTTTTGAAGGAGAGAAAGAGACAGAGCGTGAGTGGGGGAGGGGCAGAGAGAGAGGAAGATACAGAATCCGAAGCAGGCTCCAGGCTCTGAACTGTCAGCACAGAGCCCAATGCGGGGCTCGAACTCACAAACCACAAGATCATGACCTGAGCTAAAGTTGGACACTCAACCGACTGAGCCACCCAGGCGCTCTTTTCACAATTTTTTTAAATGTTTATTTATTTTGAAAGAGAGAGAGATAGAGAGCAAGCAGGGAAGGGGTAGAGAGAGAGGGAGACAGAGAATCCCAAGCAGACTCCACACTGTCATTGTGGAGCCCAGTGTGAGGCTCGAGGTCACAAACCGTGAGATCATGACCTGAGCTGAAACCAAGAGTCAGATGCTTAACTGACTGAACCACTCAGGTGCCCCTATCTTTCACTATTTAAATTAGTAACCTGAATGTTTGTCATTTTGTATGCATGCAAGTGTATCTATATGATAGATTCCCACAAGTGGGATTGTTGGGTCAAAAGATAAATGCATCTGTAATTTTGGCAGATATTGCTGTATTGATTTCATAAGGGCTGCACCCTTTTACGTTCCTAACAGTGGATGAGTCATCAAACGTTTAGACTTTTGCCAACGTGTTACATGAGATATTGTATTTCTGTGTAGTTGTGTTTTTTTTTTTTTTAATTTTAAAGAGAGAAAGTGAGAACAGGGGAGAGGGGCAGAGGGAGACAGAGAGAATCACAAACAGCACAGAGCCTAATGCAGGGCTTGATCCTACAACCCTGGGATCATGACCTGACCCCAAATCAAGAGTCGACACTCAACTGACTGCACGACTCAGGCCTACCTATTTGTGTAGTTTTGATGTCTTTTTCTCTTACTATGTACCTCCACATTTTAAGCATTATTTTATGTATTATTTTATGTAAACTTTTAGCCAAAAAAAACTATAATAAAAATTTCTAACTTCAAATATATAGAATCAAAATAAAATATCATAACCTATAGAAACTTACTTCACTTAGGTCATTTGTCAAAATTGGACCACTACTGAAGAATGTGACCCATCCTCTTTACTCTGATGATTCAAGTAACTGAACTAAATAATTTTCATTTAGCTAAGTTAGATGCAATTTCATAGTAGGGAATGAGTACACTCAACCTCATGAACTTTTTAAAAATTTTTGTTTATTTGTTTTTAATTTTTTTAATGTTTATTTATTTATTCTGAGAGAGAGCGTGTGCAGAAACAGAGGAGGGATGGGGTGTGGCGAGGAGAGAAAAAGAATTCGAAGCAGGCTCTGTGCTGTCAACATAGAGCCCAACATGAGGCTCGAACTCACTAACTATGAGATCATGACCTGAACTGAAATCAAGAGTCAGATGCTTAACCAACTGAGCCACTCAGACATGCCAATGTCATGATCTTTTAGTATCTTAGATTCTCTCCAAATAAACAAAGTAGCACTTACTTAATGCATAGTATAGAAAGCTATACATCTTTTTAGGAGAAGCCAAGCTCCACATCAAAGACTCTGCTCCTTGTGGTTGGCTATATTTGCTTTCTAATCCATCTTCTCTCAGTTGTGTAATTCTTAATAGGAGCCATTTTCTAAATACCATTTAATGTTCTGATTCTAAATTGTCACAGTTTTCTTCTTAGGGAACAATCTGAAGCATCTATGCAATTTCACACTTCAGTCATGTGTAATATTCCCTTCCTCACAGGTGGTACTGTGAAGGCAAGGAGCTTGAAAATTCGCCAGACATTCATATCGCCCAGGCAGGAAATCTGCATTCACTGACCATTGCTGAAGCCTTTGAGGAAGACACAGGACGCTATTCCTGCTTTGCTTCTAACATCTATGGGACAGATTCAACCTCTGCTGAGATTTATATAGAAGGTAAAACAAAATGCTCTTAGAGTATGGCCCTTACTAGTAAGACATATATTTATAATAAATATTTATCAAGGGCCTACTGTACCACACACTCTTCTAGGCAGTGGGGACAATAGTAGTGAACCAAATAGACAAAGGTTCTTGGACGGATGGAATTTACACTCTAGTGGAAGAGACAAAAAAATAGATGAGATAAATGAATAAAGTATGTAATATGATATGTTTATGAAATTGTTCTGATAATAAATTCCACCATGTGTGTAGTGTGTGGGGTTAAGTGTCCTACAATTTAACTCAGTTCTAACACCATTTACCTGGATATAGTGTCAGATCCAACAGGTTAAGAGCTTAGTCCTCCAAGATTACTCCTACCTCACTTCAGATGCCAATTACAAGTATGAGGTCCCCAGGCTACTCACAACTTCTGTCTCATTTGATTACAAATCAGAGGTTTCCACAATCCCCTCCTTGGGTTCAATTAATTTGCTAGAGTTGCTTATAGAACTCAGGGAAACACTTTCATTCACCAGTCTATTAAAGGATATGAGAAAGGATACAATGAACAGCCAGATGAAGAGATACAAAGGGTGGGGCCTGAGAAGGTCCAGAGTGCACGAGCTTCTGTCCCTATAGAGTTGGGGTGTGTCACTCTCCCAGTGTGGTATTTGCCAACCTGGAAGCTCTTTGTACTACTGGAATTTTTATGGAGGCTTCTCCATATAGGCATGATCAATTATTATCTCCATTTCCTGCCCTCTTCCTCCTCAGGAGGATGGGGGGCAGGGATGCAAATTCCAAGCTTCTAATCATGGCTTAGTCTTTCTGGTGACCAGCCCCCATTTAGGAGCCATCATTAGAACAAAAAATGCTCTTGCACTCTAATCACTTAGGAATTTATAAGACTTTAGGAGCCCTGTGGGGGTCAAAGACAGATATTAGAACAAGAAATGCTCATAACTTAGGAAATTACAAGTGTTAGCAGCTCCATGCTGGGAACTGGGAGCAGAGACCAACAGATATATTTTCTGTATCTCACAGTATATATAAGCCCTACGTAAAAACAGAAAGCAAGAAGATAGGAAGTATGCATATGTATATTTGTGTGAATGCACACATGCATGGGTATGTGTATGGGTATGTCTGTGTGT